GAAAATTTTTTTCAACAATTCCCAAAAACGAAATTAAATTAAGACGTAAACTATTTTGCGCCTTCTCCCTTCCCCACTTTATTTGGCTATTTTTTACGTGGTTTTATTATACAGATAAACAGAGAGCTAATATAGAACACGTGTATTACTCAGGTTTGAGGTTGGTGTACGGTTTGTGGGGATTTGATGACATTACCACCTTGGCACTGTGTAGGGAATTTTCGTTAAGAGACTATCTCTATCGGTATTGGTTGAAATTCAATAAGCATCTAGAAAACTCTACAGAAGCGACAGCATATCAACAGAGCTGGGGAGCTTTCCTGACTGCAACAGGTCCTTCAAAAACCTACTACAAGTCGATGGGCTTTAGAAAAAACAGTAGATTTCCCAATCGACTGGCAGCTCGAGCTAAACACTCCAAGGTGGATATCTTCGACTTCGTTAATATCCATAGTAAACAGTTTCTTGTATTCAAAACTTCTTCAGCTGTCTTAGAAGAGTTTGTCTTAAAATATTTTCCTATATATCCACAGTAAAAGTGAATAATAAGTATACTAATAAACGTTTAACAGAAGAACTGTATTCTGTCTCTACTATCTCTCTTTTTTGTGATTACTCTCTATGTAAATGTGTTTTATATTAATATTAATTTTCAACGATCACTGTTTTGTACTTGTGTAGAAAAAGAAGAAAATGTTATTAAACATATTTTGTAATTTTTCTAAACTCTATGATCTGTATTAAAATATTTTTCTGCTGTATTATTTTGTTAACCCATTGGGAACAATAAACTTTATATCAAAAAAAAAGAGTCTAGTTTCGCTTTACGAGAAAGTTTTATTTTTCTTCTGTTTTCGTAAAGATTTTTATTCAACATTTGCATAAAACTGAAAATGCAGTTTTGTTCAGGATATCATTCTAAACATACTGGCCAAGAACAGATTCAAAGTTCGGTAATGAAAAATGACCGTAATATTCCTGCCATTTATTTAAATGTGTCTTTCTGAATTAACACAAAGCGATAATTGTTTATTTAGAGTCGGTTTAAAAGTTGAATCGTATCTCTCTTAAAGCCGAATGCATAAAAATAACGTCCTATATACATATATAGGAGCTATGCTGTACCTACTACTTTAATCTTATTTTCATGTTTCATTTCTACTTTATTTCATTTTCTACATAAAATTAATGTGGTCATTCACTGAATAACTAAAGTTTGAACACATATTATGTCTGATTATCATGACCCGAAGAGAAAGCCGGAAAGTCATGATAGTGAAAAAGAGCCTTAAAACCTTTTTCCAGAACTGATTGAGTTACCCAATTACAAACAAAAATTATGATTTTTTCGTGTGTTCAACGGTGATATAGGCAGCTCGACATCTTAATAAATCTGAGGTGCATTTTATTGAAAAATATTTCAGCGTAATGTTCAAATTCTGTACTTAAAGATAGCGTGATAAGTGGAAAAGTGTACTGTGTAATTAGTGATATTTTAATTGTTTAAGTTGACGGATTATGCATTAAATTCATAGCGTAGAAATGTTCTTGGATACAAGAGTAAATGAATATTCCCACTAAAGTATAGCTGTACAAACCAACGTTTAATATAAAGTATATGCGGCTATTCTCTTTTCGTTGTCTCCGTTCATCCCGACAATACACGAAAGAAAGAGAATCAGAGAAGAAAAAACATATGCAGAAATATGCCGAGAAAAAATGGGAGAACAAAATAAAAAGCGCTAGTTTCCACGCAAAAACAGTTTTTCGCTTCTTTCTCAAAAACTAAGAGTTGTCCAGGAAAAGGGGTAGCATATCTGGAATCCTCATTAAATTCTCCATCGATTGATGCATTCCGTTTCCTTGTAAATCACCCCCAGGAAAACTGACCTGTTTTGCTATGCTTTATGCTTCAAAAACTGAATTTACAAAAGAAATCAAAACGTTTAATAAGATGTTGAAAATTCAAAACACGACCAAATTTTATTCTGCTTTTTTGTGTTAGTTGGATAGAACTCACCGAGTGAGCTAGAAAAAAACTTCATTTAAGATTATTTTGAAGCCATCTTTGGATGAAAAAATTTTAAAATGGTGGTTTTTAAACACAAACAAAAAATATGTGAATTTTTAAAGACCAACAAAACTTTTCGTTATATTCATTTACAAAACGCAAAAGGCCCTTTTTTCTGATTCTCCTTCTAAAACTCAGAATAGAAAACTAACTTTGACTTCTTTGAAACCTAAACTGGACTCGCGAGCCACGGAACACAAACAAAACCGTAAAAGTGTTCTGTATATCTTGCAAACCCATCTAGTCTCATGGATTATCAAATAAAAATTTTTTTGTGTAATTATAATCCTCATATAACTGAGAAAAAAAGTAACATATCCTTTTTCGAAAATTTTATTTCGTTGCGGATAAATTACCATTCAGAGAAGGTTCAGTATTCGATAGTAGGGGTGGGACAGTTCCAGTTCAGTTCTTTTGAACGCGAACTGGTACCAGTTCCCGTTCAACAAGAACTGAACTGGTAACCAGTTCTTTTCAAAAGAACGCAAACTGCTTACCAGTTCGCGTTCAAAAGAACGGGAACTGGTACCAGTTCTTTTCAAAAATTAAAACTAAAATAAAACCGGTAAACCTAGTTACATTGACTTTGTCTAGTGCGCCAGAGATAGATGGTGCGTTTAGTTGACTAAACCCAGTCAATATAACCAGCTATATCGATTTAATTTTACTTTGAATTCTTGAAAGAACTGGTACCAGTTCCCGTTCTTTTTATGCATAGCTGTAATGCGCAATCTCAATTCCGTTGACTTTTCAGCTTTTGAGTAACCATTTTCAGAATAAAAAAATCTTATTCAAATGAGGATTTGAAGTAAAAAACAGTAATATAATAGCCAAAGAATCCGATGTAAATGTGCACTTTACTTGATTTAGTAGAGCAAATGGAAAATCTTTATCTTTCGTATTTTGAAAAGTACATTTGAAACCGTACGCTATGTCAAAAAAAGATTAAATGCACAAACGATCCATCATCAGTAAAGAAATGTTAAAAGATATTTTATTTTTCGATAAAGATAAATCTAATGCAAATGAATGTTTTACAAGTAGTTTTGATGAATAGTTAATAAAAAACATGTTCCTTTCATCGTGATTATGCGTTTTACCCGCATTATTTCAGATAATCAGACAATGTATGTATATCGGACATATATAGTTTTGTAGGTTATATAGTTTCACTGAGAACTGGGGAGTAATCGCAAAAGACGCTTGGATTTTACAGATTGTGAATGGATATAAGATCGATTTTACTTCGCAACCACCCACTCGTTCTAAATGTTTCACACCCGCTTTCTCTGATAAAGAAAAATCCATGATCACTGCAGAAGTGCGGAAAATGTTGGAAAAGAGCGCGTTTCAGGAAAGAGAACACTCAGACGGCGAGTTCGTTGCACATCTCAATTTACGACCAAAGAAGGACGGTGGACAAAGACCAGTCTTTAATCTGAAAGACTTAAACAAATTCATACCATATAAACATTTTAAACTGGATAATATGATCCAAGTTAAAAGTCTCTTACAGAAAAACGGCTTTCATATGAAAATCGATCTGAAAGACGCTTATTTCGCCGTTCCGATAAACGAACAATATCGCAAGTATTTGCGTTTTGAATGGGACAACAATTTATATGAGTTCTGCGTTCTACCGTTTGGTCTAGCAAGTGCTCCGCGTCCATTTACTAAACTGTTGAAACCAGTTATGGTTCTGTTACGAAGACTAGGTATTCGTACGGTAATCTACCTGGACGACATTATTATTATGAACGACACTAAAAATGGTGCAATTCAGGACAGAGATTCCGTTTTATTTCTATTGATGAATTTGGGCTTCGTCGTCAATTTTGAAAAATCGGTTCTTAAACCGGAAAAATCCTTAGAATACTTGGGATTTGCGATCAACACAGAAACTATGACATTACATTTACCAAAAGATAAAGTTGACAAGATAAAACGCAAAATACACTGAACTTTTGAAAACGGATCAAATCACAGTTCGTGAACTTTCGAAAATCATAGAAACTCTTTCTGCGTAGGCATGCACCGGTTTCGGATAATCGAAACCGATCATAACCGAAAATGTTGCACAAGTTCTTGAAATACGTTTGACACAATATGAAGGAAGCATCTGTTGTTCAACCAACAACTGTTCATCCCGGAAGAAAGATGCACCGTGTACAAATCAGAAATAAGCCAAATAAGTGGTAAATAAAATAAAATCTTCAGACGCGTCAAAATATAAATGGAGAGCTTTTTGTGATGATACATACATCGCTGGCTATCGGAACTCGGACGAATTATCTTTTCACATAAACGTCAAAGAATTAATCGCCGGACATTTAGCTCTCAAAGCTTTCGTAAAAGAACGCACAAACTTACACGTTCATCTGATGATAGACAACATTTCTGCGGTGAAGTACATCGCTAGTTTCGGTGGAACAAAATCGGAAGATCTCGTCATTGGAGCAAAACAACTTTGGAAGTTTTGTTTCGATAAACAAATCAGTTTATCCGTAGAGTATTTACTCGGTGTTCGTAATATAGATGCGGATTGGGCTTCACGCTTTCTAAACGACAGCAGTAATTGGAAACTTAATCCAGATATTTTCAAACAAACTGTAAACTTCTTAGTCCTTTTCAAATCGACTGTTTTGCAGACGCTGGAATGCTCAATTACCATCGTATTTTAGTTGGAAACCAGATCCGGATGCGTTAGGAACGGATGCATTCCAGAAAGATTGGTCTACCATTACGAGCATTTGTTTCCGCCGTTTTGCCTCATAAGTCAGTGTTTACAAAAGATAAGAAGAAGTCGAGCAACGGCAGTTCTTATTGCACCGGCTTGGTCAGCTCAAACTTTTTATTCTCTGCTCCTACAAATGTTAACAGAACCACCAATTCTTCTACCCACCTACGATCCGTGGCTACTCAATCCGACGGGCCAAGTTCATCCGATGTTAACAACGCAAACATTGAATCTCGCGGTGTGGAAAGTGTCAGGAATTTTATTGAAAAAATTTCACCAACAGCAAGAGAACTCATTCTTAATGCAAGACGCACAGGTACACGATTCAGATATGATTGTTGTATTAAGAAGTACGATAGCTGGTGTCTCGAAAGGAAAATTGATATTTTTCAACCAATTTGGAAAATATACTAGAATTTTTAACCTTGTTATATGAGAGAAATTTCGAGTACAGCTCAATAAATTCATATAGGTCAGCTCTTTCTTCATATCTTCCCGACATTGAAGATTACAAAGCGGGACAACACCACTGGTTATTGGAAGAAGATGATAGACTTCTTCTCATCTACATCAAACCATATCACCCAGCAAAAACGTCGACTATAGCTAACCGGATTAAAACGATGATAAAATCTGCCGGCATTGATGTAGATAGATTTAATTGCCGGCACAGAAATTTTAACCGCTCACTCGAAAAACGAAACCTAGATAAAACATTGCCCTTTGGTGCTTTTTTAAGAATTAAAGTGGTTGACACATTAGACGATTCCTCATGTAAAAAATGAAACACAAGATCCCGCTTATTAATATTTGTTAGGAGAAACGTCAGTTGTACCTTAGTAGACGAAGATATTTTCATTAAAGCCATAAACACGTCTGTAGGAGGATATATCTACATATATGTAGCTTGTTTGAATCCGTATGTCAGCATCTTCGCAACACAAAATTTGGTCATTATCACAAAAATGTCTTCTCAACAACTAACAACATCATCGTTTCTCAACATCATATCAAACCTCTGATGAGGCAGTCTTAGCAATAAGATCGTTTAGCTACGGGAGCACCCGTACACGTGAAAAGATAGTACTAAGATTAAAGCTCAGAAACTATCTGTGTCTGGTTCTTAGCTGATAATTTGCACTAATTATATAAACAGATTTTATCAGCAAAAATGTTTTTTTGTGTACGGTTTTCTCCGGAAGTGTGCACAGTTTGCTATTTTCCGTGCACTAAAAAATCTTTTGTCATTTTTGTTATAGAAAGGTGCACGGAGATGTTTTTGTGCACGGTTGTTCAACAAATAAGATGATCTATGAACAGACGTCTCGTTTAATACAAACGTCTACGTACTTTTTCCGGCATATTTATTGACTGAAATGTATGATAAATTTTGAAAATTGGTGTAGAAGTTCATCTCTTTGAGAATTACTTCAATCTACACAGTTCTGAATACACTCTAAATATTTCTTCCAATCCAGCTAAATTACAGGTGTTAGGAAAAAGGTGTGGACGTGCAAAAAAGGCAGGAAAAGCGCATTAAGTCGATCATAAATTTGGTGGAAATGCTAAAAGAGAAATTGCACTTGTAAATAGATGCTATATTTTTGGTGATAAAAAAAATTTAATAATCAAACAATGGAATATAATCAGCCTTGTTCTTCAAAAAAACGTGCACATTTGTCATTTTTCGTGCACCTTTCTGTAACCGTGCACAAAAATGTCAAAATATTTTTTAATACACGGAAAATAGCAAACAGTGCACAATTCTGGAAAAAACTGTGCACACAGAAAAACACGTCCGATCTTATCGTGTTCGAAGAAAAATACGCTGCAGAACATGAAGCCTTTTGGAACATTGTCAAATGATAAAGACAGTAATATCGAACTAGCCTACAATTGTAAAGCACAGACTACAATATCGATTTCTACTTCATTGATTGACAACCTGATTTTTAAATGACATATTAGGTACACACCACCTTCAGATGACAAATAAAACTTGATATTTTCCTAGACAATCTAATAACGCTCTGTTTCCTATCAAACGTTATTCAGCAGACAATACACTACACTGTTTTTAGAAAATGTGTAGTAATGATCAAGGTTAAGTAGTTTCGAATAACAGAAATTTCTCACGCATTAGTTAAACTTCGGCGACGTGGATGGAAAATGGACAGTAAATTATTCATGAGTACAAAAATCAGGATAAATAAAGGCGATATACTAGCAAAAGACATTTGGTATGAGAAAGTATGTATAGTAAAGAAGAAGTCAAATATGTCTTATTCTTCTGATGAACTTCGTTTTCGAGACTTTCGAATGAGGCCTATGTCTTATTTTATGATTAGTAAATTCTGGCTAAACTTATATCAATATGTCATATAAGCAATCTACATCAGAAACTAAATAATCTCAATAATATATTTTTTGGTGAATTCTCATTTCGCCGAAAGTAAATTATACACTTAAAGAATTTCATAGGCGGCAGAGTCGGTATGAGAGTGAATTTTCGATGAAACGAGAACTAATCCTCTTTTTTTAAAGAAAATTATCTCGATTGATATCTTTAATTGGTATAATTCTTCTTCGAATTAATCTAAACTTTTTTTATTTTCCCACAAATTGAGCTGGCTCATTACATGTCGGTTGAAGTTGAACAAATGTGAGAGAATTAGAACATTATATTTTTAGACTGACGCATATTTTTCACAAATTATACTAAAATACATACCGGTACAACTTTATACTTGTAGCGTTCTAAATGTCTATATCTCATTGTTGTTTGTGCATTTAAAACTTTTGTTATTGTAAAATTTGAACGTTGTTGTTTCAGTAACATTGACGGGAGCACTGGTAGTACGGCGATGCTAAACATAAGACCCAATTTTCTGTATTAATGAATTTTATTCGTACACTACTGTACGTTTTAGAAAGAATGATCACACAAGTAATCTCGATAGTAAAGTAAGAGCGACCTGCACGTTTCACCATTCGATATGCGAATGTGCATGAAGAACTGATGTCATAGATATTTGCCCCTGCAGATGTGCGTACTTTGCACGTCTACGTTTAGCAGATTGCTGTGACAAGAAAAAACTGATGTATTTTCATTCTGACAAGTGACTTGAAGCCATCGGACTGTCTTCCCTCGATTTACAAGAGTCCTGTGTCTCTATCTGTTAAACTCACTGTTACAAAATGATACAAGATTTTCTACGAGCTCCTGAAACTCGAACTCTCTGTAAATTTAGCTAAAATTCGCTTTCGAACAGATAGAAGAAAACTAGAATGATGAACAGAGGCAAATAAACAAAATAAAAACAAATTAACAATAGAATAAAAAGAAAAGAACGAAATAAATAAAAACTAAAAGCAGTGGTAGAATATAGACATGGTTGAAATTCCCCACAGTAGACAGGATAACTTTGAATGACAGTAATCTAGAAAATAAATTACTAATTTCAATGAAATGATAAAAAGAAGAAACTGTTTGAGTATCGAAAGTATTAACAAGTGGAGGAATTTAAGTATACTTGATGCAAAGAAGAATAGTGCAGTAAATTGGGTAAAAAAAAGCAGAAAGAACACTTACGAGGAAAGGTGAGTGAATGCAATCCCAAGTGTGCAATCGCTTTTTGCTTGAACTCTAGTGGACAATAGGTAATCGAGTGCGCTAAATCCGAATCTGACATCGGTTTGTGCTGCTGGGCCTCCAGAGACCGGATTTCTGGAAAACCAGTTTTTCAGAAACTCTGAAAAATAACCAAAACCTTTCTTAATGAGGCATGATTGTAGACCGCAAATTTCTGATTAAAATGAGATATCTCCCAGCTATACGCGACCTTTCTTTGCAAAGTTATAGAATTTACACGAAAGCCCTAAATTAATTTCTTATTTCTGTAGCTTTGAGCTCACAATGAACATATAGGACTTTTCGTGTAAATTCTATAACTTTGCAAAGAAAGATCGTGTAGAGCTGGGAGATATCTCATTTTAATCAGAAATTTGTGGTCTACAATCATGCCTCATTAAGAAAGATTTTAGTTATTTTTTAAAGTTTCTGAAAACCTGGTTTTCCAGAAATCCAGTCTCTGGAGTCCTAGCAGCACAAACCGATGTCAGATTCGGATTTAACGCAGTCGATTACCTATTGTCCACTAGAGTTCAAGCAAAAAGCGATTTTAGGGACCGTTCCTTGTTAGAGAATGGTAAGTGTTGAAAAAGTGGTAAGTCTAAAGCATTTACGATGAGCAAAGACATTGGAAAGAGAAAGTTGAAATACAAGTAAAGTACCGTTTGGTATGAGAAACAAAGAAAGACACAGGACTCGTCCGATGGTTTCCAGTCACTTGTCATATTGAAAACACATCATTTTTTTCTTGTCACAGCAATCTACTAAACGTAGACGTGCAAACAAAACTACACGGCTTGTCCATGTAACTCCTATGGCAGAGATGTCACTCCGAAACTAAAAGTCGTAGAGAGTTCGGAGACGTTTTAAATTATAGAAAAAACTGTTTTCTACATTTTAAGATCTGATCGGACTGTAGGTAACCTATTCTCATAAAACTGTAATCCAAATGCTGAGACCTGCTTTTTAAGAATTCAAACCAAAGGTGTAGATCTCAGCATTTTAACCACAGCTTTTTTAAGATAGGTTTCCTAGACGTCTGATCAGATCTTAAAATGTAGAAATTCTATAATTTAAAACGTCCCCGAACTCTCTACGACTTTTAGTTTTGGAGTTAGAGTCGAAATATAATGAGCAAAAAAAGTAACGCTGTGACATCTCTGCCATAGGAATTGCGTGAACAAGCCGTACACATGCCTGCAGGCAAATATCTGTGACATCAATATCAAATGGTGAAACGTGCAGATCGCTCTTACTTTACTATCGAAAATACGTGTCTAATTATTAATTACAACTTATATTACCTGTCATATAGCAAAATCCCAATGTCTAATAATTCTTCTTTATTTGGTAACTTAAGCTCTAAAACTGTGCAGAGAAATACTGCGATTATGCATAAAAGAAAAATTATTCTAAGTACGTACAATCGAACAAAAAATGTGGAAACATAACATGATTATCAATAATTGTACATGCATCATTTCCATAAACTAGTTGAAATTGTTCATGTAACTCATTTAAATATTGTGTATAATATTTCATTGTCAATTTTGTATGAGAACGATACTCTGCCGATATCTAAACACTAACAAAGTTAACAAATAAAACAAAATAAATTGTGAACAATATTCTTTACATTAGATTTTGCTTTACATACCTTACTTGTATAATTGACTACTTTTTCATTTAATAATACTTGTGAAAATTGTGGTCGATCAATTTGTATTGCATAATGAATGTCGTACAATTGACGTTGAACTGAATTCGTATAACGACCAATTTCGGCTAAATGAAATATATAAAAGTCGTAATATAATGCGGATCTTTTGTTTTTTTTTCCTATACTCTACCTTCCTTCACATTTTCTTCACTTACAAAACAGATAAGGTAAATATTGATCACTGACAAGATATGTCAACAAAGTATAATTGTATTCATCAATTTGCATCATGCCATACATTGCTTGTACAATCCAATGTGGAGTTTTTTGTTCATGTATTAATTTCATTAAATAGTCTGCCAATAGTCTTACACACAATTTTGATTTAAAACGATTTGTTGGATCAATCATACACAAATGATAGATGAAATGTGTCAATAATTTAATTTCAAATTGATCTGTATGTTTTATTAATTGAGATAAAAATCGTGTTAGATAATTGAGAAATTGTTCATGACTATAATTAGCGTAGTGGCCAAGAATCAATAATTCACAAAGAAAATGTAAAGAATTTTCAGAATCTAATCGAGAGAAAGAGAGAAAAATGTTGCTTTTGCATTGTTCAAGAGAAGATGTTCATTTCAGTAGTGAAAAATGATGATTATTTCATCACCTTTTCTCTTTTCAATCACACGAAAGGAAATAATCTACTTTTCTCTGGATATTTTTGAAAACTCCCGACATTTCACATCAAATTCAACATTGATCAACTCATAAACACAAACTTATGGAAATTTCATAAAACTTTTTTGAGACAATCTCAGCATGCCTTCTCTCATCTCATTATTGTTGATAGCAATCTGTGCCTAGAAGAGACACACTGAAGAACCGAATATAATTTCTCCTCAAAAAGCGATTAGGACAATCAATTTCAGACGTAATTGTTTAAAAGTAGGTAAAATTTAATAAAATTTTCAGCTTTATCGTTCAAAACTGTTTGTTTTATTCTGAAGCTGAATAAAAGACAAAGTAAATTTGACATAATTATAGTCCACAATGAAAGATGGATCAGGCAAACGTCAGCAAAAAACGCTTAGTTGTTCCTGGTGTATCTTGAAAACCAAATGTGTTTTTTTTTATTGCAAAATAAACATTTTTTGTGTGATTATAACCATCATTCCCACGATAAAAAAAAAAGGTACGTATCAGTTTTAATCTCTGTTGTTCTGTAGCTAGAACAATCAAATTTTTTTAAATCACTAGGGAAAACTAAAAAAATGACCGTTGATTTCCGATTTTATCACCGAATTTCACTCTTTTTGTAACGTCAATGTCATAGTCGAGATCAGCGTCAAAAACTGAGCCGAATAATGTCTCTAACGATTCTATTCGACAACTTCAACTGTTTTCCAATCTTTTTATTGGAAAATTAACGAGACTTTCACTCAAAAAGTGAAAACTATTTAAAAACATCGAGACAAACATCAATCGAATCAGTTTTTGACACTGATGCTGAATATGACATTGACTTTGTAAAAAACGAATGAAAATTGGTGATGAAAATCGGAAATCACGAATCATTTTCCCCAATGATTAAAAAAAAAATTGATTATTCTAGATACAGAGCAACACAACTTCAAAGAAATTCGATAAGAAAAATGATGAAACCGATACTTACATATTGTTGCATTTAATAAATATTCATATAATAATTGATGAAATTTAGATGGCAATGGTGATGAATGTTTATTTAACAATAGATTTAAATAACGAATAATTGACATAGACTTGACTGATCGATTTGTGACAAATGTTGATAAGTGAAGTGGAGGCATATCGATAACTGTCGTTGTGGGTATGTATCGAGTAGAATAGAGTGTTGAACACAGAAGAGAAACAAGTTGAGGTGAATGTCTTTCTAATTGATTAAAGAGATAGAAAAATAATTTTTCACAAAAATGATTTGGAATTGATGTTTGAGTGGATTTCGATAGGATACATTGTAATAGAAATGATAATTCATACATTACAAATAACTGACAATCGTCATCCTTATCACTAAAAAGATAAATTATCGTACCATTATTTCGATCGTCAACGGCTATTGTCAGATTTTTTTAAAAAGCTCTCCACTATTTTTCGAGTAACTTTTGATAAGTAAAAGATAGAGACCTGCGGTTGTCACCATTCGAAAAAGTCATCTGCGGGACACAAATCGATATAAAAATCAATCGGTCATTCAGTAGGCAAGCTAGTCAGGTTATACTGGACATTATGAGAGTAGTATTTCGACAATAATTCTCATTTGATCTTAGATCCGAAGGTAGTCAGTCTATAAAGAAAATCAAGCTCTTTTGATCTGCACAAGTTCCACCTTGATAGCTTGTACTACGACTGTAAAAGTTCCCATTACTTCTTCGGCCGTTATCGACAACGCTCACTGAAAATACAGTTAGCGTTAAAAGAACGGTAACTGTCTTTTCAGTTACCCTTGTTTTAGCGCTAACTGCGTTTCCAGTTACCGTTGAAATAACGGTAACTAACAGTAAACTATCAGTTAGTTAACTTTGTGGTAAATATTTTTTAAGTATGGCAGAAATATCCACATAGCGGCTTAAAATGGCTTCCAAAATTGTTAGTTTTGCACTAAAACTGTTGAAACTTTCATAAATGACATGGTTTTGTGGTTTAATTTCGTTGATGAAAGCAAAAAGATTTCTCAAGCTGGCTGTAAATGCAGAGCTCTCCAGAGACCTTAAAACCGCAGTTACAAAACATTGAACTTATATAATTTCGATTAGTTTAGTTGACTGGCACGTGTGTGCCAATCAAAACCATGTCATTTATGAAAGTTTCAACAGTTTTAGTGGAAAACTAACGATTTTGGAAGCCATTTTAAGCCGCTGTGTGGATATTTCTGCCATACTTAAAAAAATACTTACCACAAAGTTAACTAACTGATAGTTACCGTTATTTCAACGGTAACTGGAAACGCAGTTAGCGTTAAAAACAGGGCAACTGAAAAGACAGTTACCGTTGTTTTAACGCTAACTGATACGTTAGTTACCGTTGTTATAACGGTAACTGTATTTTCAGTTAGTGTTAAATCAACGCAACGGGAACTTTTACAGTCCTAGCTTGTACCGTTCGGGAGTTGTAAGCATTTTCCCTAGAGCCTCGAAATCGTCCCCATGGTATTGGGTTACTCAAAAACAGGTCAAAATAGGGGTTTTCGATTATGCGGAGTCGATTGGTCATGTTGGTTTTCATTCTGAAAGCGATCTGGAATCAATGAGTCAAGATTTGTTAGATGTAATTTCTCGATGCCTTACGACGACTGAGGGTCTATTGACTCAGTGATTTCAGATCGCTTTCAGAATGAAAACCAACATGACCATGTGATGAGATACATTCCATATTTATCTCTTCGCTGAATGTTTTATTACGGCAATTGTTTAAAGCAACAAGAATATTCATTTACTAAATGACAGATAGTGTCCAGAAAACTATATCTTTGCTAGTTCTCTTGCTCATTCATAAACAACAGCAGGCTAACAAAAAGGAAATGAAAAATGAGACAATGTCCATTCAAGATGGCTTAGACTCGATTAGTCTTATGTTCTATCTGCCATTTGTTCTCTTACTTGGAAATGGAACTGAGATCATGATAGGCTAGCTCTTTCTTCTAGGAGCAAGATTAAAAGAAAAGTAACAATAGTTTTGTTATCCGTAGTTTACGGATTCGAACGGCATGAAAAACTTTGCTTGATATCTTACCAGAAGAAAGCAGATGGGTTTACATAATAACTTGGGAGCGATCATTGAGACCTCTGCTTAACTTCTGTTGAGGTAGAAGAAGGCGAAAATCGATTCGAACTATCAAGGTAGAAAGACAAATTATCTTGTCCGCAGTCTGAAAAAAGCACCATTCACTTCGAGGATGTAAACATTTTCTAACTTGGTAAAGTAGATTTCAACTGAGAGCATGGGAAGTTTTTTATTTTAGATTTTTATACTTGTGTAAATAAGCAAAAAAAATAATTTAGTTAATTAAATACATTAAAATCTCCGTTGAAATATATCACGTTTGAATGATTCTTGTTGTTGTTTGACTGAAAGAAATAAAAAGTAAAAAAGAATTGCATAATAGATTGACGTTCGTTTTTTTCGTCATATAAAGACTAGAGACTATACGTCCATCCCACAACCAGTCATTCAGACGATTCAGTTCGAAGATAGCAAATTTATTACTAGTAGTTAACAGTTATACACATAGTTACACTTTAAACAGTTACACATGGAAATTACACTGTCAACAAATTTTGTTGACAGAGTAAGTCCTAAATTAATGACTAAAATTTAAATGAGCAATAAAATAATACGAATGAGCAATAAAATGATATAGATGAGCAATAGTCAAGTTTAGCGGTAAAGAAATTCAATGAGCAATAATTATACTAAACGGGCAATAATAATACTGAATGAGCAATAAAATAAAATAAGTGCGCAATAATTAAACTAACTAAACAATAATTTGTTCTGCTTTTATCTGGGTTTTAACTTTCATGCACACCAGATGGGATTTGGGGGGTGGTGGGGGGTGGCAGTGTGAGAGTGAGTTCGGAGGGTAGTTTCACGCAGCGATTATTTTTTCTTGCAATTGCAGAGGGCGTTAAAAAAAACTAGGATTTAAGCTAGAATCTAAGGGGAAAAGGAAAAAAAAGGAAAAATTTCGATTCCAAATATGAAATTACTACAGCAATTTAATGAATTAATTATTGTACATTTAATAATATGAAATTGCTCCAATAAAGGCTTCAAAATTATTGCTAAATCGTATTTTAATTATTGCTCATTCCAATATTTTTATTGCTCAAATAAATACTGGCCTAACTTAATCTTTTAACAAAATCAAATTTTTTTTTTCATTTAGTCTGGAATTGAAATTACTTGAGTTCTTCTATTTGTTGGTTTGCTCTACGGAATCGTAGAATATATGATACAGCGACATTACCGCGAACGACATTACCGCGAACGACGTTACCGCGAATACAGAAAACGACATTACCGCGAATTTTTGATAGTACACATTTGGTCTCGGCGATTTTCAAAAAGTCCATATATAAATTCCTTGAGGCTTTTCTAGATTCTAGAAAATCGAATTTACAAGCAGCCTGGAAATTCGACGTCGATTTTCCAACATTTTAGAAATTCGCCGTGGAATTTCAAGAATCTTGGGAATTATTTATAGAAAATCGACCCCGAATTTTCATATTCTTGGAAATTCTACGGCGATTTTCCGAGTAAAATGAAAAGTCAATTTATAGAAAATGGAGTCGATTTTCCAGAAAATAGAAAATCAGAAATTTATAGAAACCCAGAAAATCGACAGGGAACTTATAGAAGTCAGAAAATCCCGGGCGATTTTCGAGATCGATTTTGTATAAATAAGAAATTAATTCCAAATCACAGTCTAGTTACATATCAGATAAGCACTTGAAAAGCTCAAGAAAATTCATAGAGCGTCAAAAAAAATGTTCTGTGTGAAACTACTTTTCGAACTCACTCTCACACTGCCCACACTCCCACCGCCCACCACGTACTACCAAAAATGCCCAAATGTCTACTACGAAAAATTCGCGGTAATGTCGTGTCACGGAATATATGATACCGAATTTGCGCAGATCAATTGAAGGTCGAATGCGCCGACGTATGCAAGAAAACCACTGAATAATTTATCTGTTTTATTGGGGAAGAAAATCCACGACGGATAAAACCATTGAACAGTTTATCTAACAATTCATGAAATCATAGACATTTTTTCTATATCGTTGGTTGCTACATTGTTTTATTAGGTTCTTATTGTTCTTCATATTCTTTTTAAGTTCATTTGTAATACATTAGTAAAAATATTGAAATATAATAAATTATTTAATACATAAAGAAATATAATATTTTAATTAAATGCAGTCAATTGTATCTGCAACATATCACCGATAAGTGAAATTTTTAAATAGAACTAGAGTCGATGGAAAAGACATATTCGGATCGAGGATAGTCGATTGTACAAGTATCTCTAAAACTGACTCGGGGTACTGCCAGTCGGGTAGCAAAAAATTTTTAAAAAAGAATTAAGTCTTTAAAATTAAGTCTTTTTAATTAAGTAAAGTAAGTCTTACAGATTTACATTAAACTTACTAGTAAATTAATCAGTTTAAAGGCTATGACTTGATAAGCTTTATCCGAAAGTAAGAAACATTTCTGAAAGAGATGCGCGGATTTCACACAGGAGCAAAGAAATTCACTAAACAGGATCTTAACATTGGTGAATTCTTAAGTAGCAATTTCTATAAAAAAATGAAAACAAAAACGTTTGATACTATCACTACGTGCTTTAAGAAATTCTTGAAGAATTTCTTAAAGCAAAGTATTCTCAAAGTAGTTAAAACACTGATTGAAATGAAAAGAAAAACGTAGATATCTTCAGTCAAATATATATGTATCTTATTTCCTCCACGTGTCCGTCATTTATAGATATAAATGTGTATCTGATGTATATAACTTCTTTCACGTTCAAAAAAGCTAGAAAGTATACGCTGTATCATTTCATTAATCGTTTTATTTACCCGTATTTGAATTGAAACTTTTCAAGAAAAATTTTTGTTTTCGTTTTTTGGGGAAGAGGAAATTCTTCATCCTATGATGGTGTTGGGCAAGAAATCAAAAATCTGCTAAAAAATCCGTCTCCTTGCATATCACTTCTAATACCGTTAGCCAATTCAACCGGATGACCAGCACCACCAATATTTAAAAGTGGATTTTGAACACTGGTACTATTATCTAATGTTTGACGCCGAATGTATCGAAGAGTGTTGTACAATTGATTTATTAAACTGCGGTCATATGATGCCCCACCTGCCGCTTTATACAAATGAAGTGAAGCCGAGAGCGTGTTGATTTCATCAAAAAGCTGTAGCAGATGTGGGCCGACTCTTTGCATTCCACTGAAAAGTGATTCAATAGTAGCTGAATTATTCACACGTGAGTCTTCGAGCTTATTTCCTAATACCATATCAATGTCTTGACACGCATCACGTAATAAATCAACAGCTTTTGACTTATTTGCGCCAGCGTACCCAACAATAGCCGTATAAAATGATATATTGCTAACCATATTCCAACACAAAGAATTTGTGCATAATTAGCAAAATGAGCCACTGTGGGCAATAAAAGAGTAAAAAGATATCCTTTTGCTAATTGAAATGAATCACAAACATTGTTCATAATTTTACATGTTTCTTCATCGAAAAACTGTCCAGGATCGGAATCCATCTTTCCGCATTCTCACATTATATTTCTAGCTTCACGTGCTGTTACAACATTGACAAGAGTTGGTGCCATTTCTGTTAAGAGAAATTAGATTACATTAACAAATATTACTACCAAATAAAATGCGCGTGCCTCCGTCACTTCAGAGGCCAATGAAATATACGCTATCAAACTAACGGTTGATAATGAACAGATTGAAAAAAGCATTTATCATCTCTTAGTCATCACTCTAATTTAAATTATTAAAACTGAGCTATTTATTATTGAGACGTAGCACAATATTACAAAATAACGTAGAAGAATGAATGATAAAAAAAAGAAAAACGAGTACTTTTATATACTAATCTGTTATGTTATATGTGAATTTATATAAATAAATGTACGACGGTTAAATTTAAATTTATGGTTACTGTTAGGCAACACCTCATTTTCTCAACAAACATATCTCTCAGCCTTTTCAAGTTAATTTGTATTTTTGATCGGTTAATCGAGGAAATAATAATTAGTTTACAGCGGTGTTGCGGCGTTATACCAATCGTACTTCTGCCAATGGCACTTATGCCAATGGTATAAGTGTCTCGATTTTATGCCAATGGATATAAAAAAAAATGTTTACACCAATATTGGTATAAACGAAAAGTACTTACACCATTGGTGTAAGAGTTGAAAAAAAAGAAGGTATTGGCTTAAGTACACTAACACTTTCAACTGTGTGCTATGAGAAATCATCCTGTCTGAAGTCATCGCGTTATATGTGAGTGTTTCCTGTTGTTCCGACTCCATGCAGTGAAAAATTAATGCAATACAATATATCAAATATTTTACAGTATTTAGAAAAAACAGTTCACTTGCTGCTGAACTGATTAGATTGATGTAAGAAAACGGCTTTTTATGCCAATTGTATAACTCCTGTTTTATATACCAATATTGGTATAAAAAATCAGTGTTTTTGCCAACATTAGTGTAAAAAAATTTTTTTATATCCATTGGCATAAAATCGACACACTTCCCAGGAAGAAATTTTGGACCCTCGCAGGTCCTTCGCAGGCATTAAAATTTTTTTTTCCGCCTTTAAGGCGTTAAAAACCTTCTTTTGACACATTCTAAGCCTTCCGAAGGCTTAGTTTTGGCAATTTTTAGACAAAATAAGGCGTTCGGAGACATTTTTGGTATAAAATTCAGATTTAACGCATTGTAAGGCTTCGGACACTATTTCGGACCTGCGACACAGGTTCCATTTTTGTCCTTTTAATGCGTTCACACGTATTAGCGGCGCGAAATTGTCTATTTTAATGCATTCGAATGCCTTATTGTGTCGCATGAATCTAACTTATGAGAACTTCTTAATAGATTAGAAGGACCTGCGGAGGTCCAAAATTTCTTCCTGGGTTATACCATTGGCATAAGTACGATTGGTATAACGCCACGATTTCTTTACAGCTTATAGCTGAAATGATTGATTATAAGGAATATTGATCTCTACATTCATTGGCTTCGTACGATCGTTACATTCTCTCTCTTGGTGAAGAAAAAATTCAGGAAAGAAAGTAAAATAGAGTGAAAAAAAATATTTCCTTCGCAGCGATTCAGCGCTTTCTGTATGATATGTATGAAATCATGCTGTAACAAAATGAGAGTTACAATCTATTGGCATTCTTTCTCTAAATAATGGTTCGTTTCTATTGGAAAACTGGAAAACTCGTGCTAAAAACGATATAAATAGGAATAGTTACCATTTCAAACATGTTTGAATATTTACACTGAAAGCACTAACTACAAAGAAATTTAATTATCTGAGTAGCTTTTATATTATCTAAAATGACACTCGAAGAGAAAAAACGATTTTCAAACTGAAAAAGTCTGTCAAAATCAGCCTTTCAGTAAATGTGTTCGCTGACTTTAACAGAGCTGAAATAGTGTGCAAATATGCTTCTATGAAATGTTACTTATACGGTATTAGTGCAAAAGACGCATTTATTTATTTGGACGGTATACATGATAACAGTGCATTGAGAAATTCACCTTTAGAGAATATCTAACCGCGTAGCCGAAAACATGAAAAATCTCTTTTCTTGAAACCATGCTTCTCTGCAATTATCCTGGATCAAAGTTTTCAAATAACTTATGGAATAGTTTAACTCTTATACACAGGGGTAAAACATTCTAGCGAATGAATGTGAAAGAAAGCATGTACTTTTCATATATTTTTTCAGACAATAAATAAAAGGTTGTCCTTACTTTTAGGTCTTGTTAAATAAGTCTTTTATTATGGATCGTATTCATGAATGTAAAGCTCTCCTTACATGCCTAAAATAACTTGTATTTTTTCAGAATGTATATGTTATATTTAACCTTTCTGCTGAGGCCTAATTTTGACTGATTAGTTACAGTTTCTGGTCCAAACAATGAATTATCGTCGGAATGGTCACAAAAATTAAATTTCTTTGATATATTATGTTTGAAATAATAAAATTTCAAAGTGAAGATTAACATATTAGAATATTGGAAAATTCATCGACAACAATGCGGCTGTTTATATCTGTTTTAATTCGCTTTTTTATGTCTTGAACGCTTCAACAGCAATATGACTACTTGAACACAGAATCTGCAGTATTCGGGACAATTAATACATTTTACCTCTATAGAAAACATCCGTCGAACTATCCTAGTATTTTAATAGTCTGAAATTTTTTGAGTCCACAGAAAGGTCGTTTGAGTTTCCTCGAAAAGATCTTCTCAAATAAAATCTATCTATTTCGTGATATCTGAACTGTTTATCATTCGATAGAGAATTTCACGGGCTTCAAAATGATATATTAGATAGCTTTAAGAAAATGTAACTGGGTAGTCTAACGTTCGAAAGACTCGGTAGCATTCCACCAAACCGGTGGGTCAGCATCGTTCATGTCTATAATATCCATTGACTTTCACGCTAATCACTCTACTTTGTATATCATTCGATAGAGAATTTCACGGGCTGCAGAATCAGTTATAAACAGATCTTTCAAAAATAGGTCCACATGGGTCAATAGTCGAAATACTTGGTCGATATAATGATTTTCACCTATCTTAGTGCTTTAAACACTTCTTTAGTCACTTTTCTGCCATAATGAAAACTTAATATATTTTTTCAAAACAAACCATTGGATAGTACTTCAAATTCTCTACAAAGTGAGCTGGTCAGAATATCCAGACAGGTGGAGCAGTCATTAAAGATATGGAAAAGAAGCGTTTGGGTGTTATCTATGCAGTACAGTGTGTCATAATCACAAGAACTCCTTTGTTTTTGATCTTTTAGTAAAAGCTGGAGCCAATCTGAATACTGTTTTGAATAGCCCGAAGATTTTTCTATCAGATGAGGTGCATATCTCCGTTTCATGAAAAAGTTGATAATAGGGTTTCTGGAAAACCTGACCGCTGAAAAACCAAGTCCTTGCTTGTTGGTCAGAAAATTTTGCAAACAATACAGCCTGATAGAACATAGAATTCTGAGGAAAATAGGACACCTCCCGGCTGTCTGTGATGCTTTTTCCCCGGAGTGTTTTGTTAATTTGCACGCCTTTTGTAGCCATTCGTAAATCGACTGCAGTTGAGTGAAAAAGCATTACAGACAGTCGGAAGATGTCTTATTTTCCTCAGAATTCTATGCTCTATCACGCCATATCGTTGAATGACCGAGTACTCCAGGTAAGAAGATGATGTTCTTGAGGAGAACCACTGAGTATTCGACCGGAAAAGTTCTTGTGGAGAATTAATATTAATTATAAAATTAACTTCAAGAATGATGGATTATAATGTGCGTTTCAGTGTGCTTGTTAAGCTATATTCATAAGCCCTCAATAAAAGGTTATCAAAATATGGATGATGTCTCATTTCAAAGAAAGTATTTTGTTCTACAAACTTGAGTATTCAATTAAATTCTGAACATTGTGTAGGTGTCATATATGATGATATATCTCTGGAAAAAATAGTTTCAGTCGTTTTCTTAAATATATACCAATATAAAAATACAAAAAAGGAATAAAAAATGCAGTTCGTGGGAATCTGACGATGAGGATGCCTTCATTGTACTCGAAATATTTTTTCAGCCAATACGTGCGAGTCAAGATATAAATATACAGGGTGATAGAGAATTCCGAGCGCTACCAGAATATATAATTATTTTTCTAATACTGTATTTTTATATTGGTATATATTTACGTGACGGATAGTAGTAAGTCTGATCTGTTTTACTAAAACCCCTGCCTAACTTCAAACATCAGAGGAGTGAGCGTTGGTATGGTGAAATTTTTGTTTTAGTGGCAATTGGCTCTTACTTACTGCTTTTTAAGACGCTCTGTTGAAAGATGTTCTCAGCGCATCGTAAGTGTTTGTCGGTGCATGTAAGCGTTTCTAAGGCGGAGGAAGTTAAATTTAGCTGCCAAACAAAACACTATTCCCACCCATGTCTTGCCGTTAGGTATATAGCGTGTGAAACAACGCTCGTTAGGGCCTTAACATGCATTAACACTAGGATTTACTTTCCTAATAGGTGTGTAGACTTGGCTTTATCTTTTCGCATTCGGGGCTCGTTCTCAGAGTTCACCAGACTGGTGTTAGCCTTTCCGAATGTGAGACGAATTTTGTCTTTATATCTTTACGTCTATGCCAAACGGCTCTCCATGCTTTGCTGGACGAAATCAACTCTTAATCATCAAATTTTTTTTTACTTGTAAGACGGCAACGGCAGAGTACAACGTTGGCTGGTCGGTGCATCAAGTGGTGATACAATTCTTGGTAAAGATCAAGCAAATCCCAATGCGACTCAGTTTTCTTCAGAGAGAATTGCTTTTGACTCAATAATCGTATAGAAACATTTTTATCTTTATGTTAGCAAGTACAACAACATCGACGTCTGTCTGAGCTTTACTGAAGTTATTGACTATATGAATAAAAGTTTCGACGATCTTGTTCAAAAATGTTTTTTTTTGTTAATAGTTTTTTATGGTTTAACGAAGAATAGAAATAAATGTACGAAATGTGGCAATTAGGCGCGAAGGTGAGCAACCATACAATGAATGGTATACGGATAG